AAAAAAATCAGTTTAAAGGAAAGTGGCTCAAAGTGAAGTTTGGCAAAAAGTTGTTTCCCAAAAAATTATTGTCACGCTTGTCACACAAGTATTTGCCGTCTTCCTTCCTCTCCTGTCCTGTTCACTAATGTTTCAGTGTGCACAGTATTAACACCATTTTCCAACTAAAGTTCAGTAAGGATACTCTTCTAACTGCTCCTGGAATAGTTAATAAAAAGCGCCAAATTTCAATAATATTTTGGCAGATGAAACAAAAATGGACCACGTTCTTCAGGAAACTGAGAGAAACCGTCAAATGGCAAATCAGATAGCTTACAGGACTTTTGCAGCGAATGGAGTTAACGATGGCGTCTTTCCTACTGGTCCAAAGGTATGCGTTCATCTTGGACAAGATTTTGTAAATTATCTTGTAATGGAACCAGACATCTTTTTCAAATTAAAATGCTTTTCAGTTATTTTTTTGGGCTTACTTTTAACTTACGTTTTTTTTCACATTTCCCACTGGTTTGCACACTGGTACCAAGACCACTTGCATTGCAGCCATACTGATGCATATACCCGAAGTGCATTAGCATACTTATTTTGTTTATTGTTTTTCATTTTTTGGACCTAACGCAATAACAAAATCAGGCCTGGCAAAGTCAAGGAATCAGAATACAGGGATGTCTTCTAATTTGTGAAGGAAGCGAGTTTTGTTCCACCTGTAAAGATGATCCAGCCAAGTATCACGGCGCGAGATACATATTCCCGTTCTCTCCAGATTGTTCACATTTTGAGGTGCGTATGTAGATTTACTGATGTATTGCAATTGACTGTTATGGATTGTAGCTTAACCTGGAACATGTTTTGTTTCAATCTGAGAAAAAGATTTTTGTTTTCTTTACTGAAAACTTAGACAGTTTTCAAAATCCTTCGCCGACTTAACAAGTAAAATTTCGAACTGAACTAATCAATTTGCCAATTTTTAGAATCCTCAGGCAATACAAATAATTTTATGAAGGCAGCAAGTTTCATTCTTTCATTATCTAGTTTAAGCATTGTTTTTTTTTCTTCCTTTTTTGTACTTACGTTCGGGCCTTGAAAGAGCTGTACTGAACATTTATCGATTTAAATGAATTACGTTTGCGCAATCTCATTACTTTACCTTTAACTTGAGCTTGCCACCTTCTTGTGGTGGTGGTTAAACTTTCATGTCTTAATGATCCCAAGAAGTATCCCTTCAGGAGTCTGCCCCTTGTAGGTCCAACAATGCCGGATTGGCAGCCCCTCGCCCCCGAAATTGGCGGTTTTCTTGGAGGCCAATCACACCCCCCCGTACAGAAACATTTGACTACGTAAACATGCATTATGAATAAACAGCAACCAAAAGTCATCGATCTTCTTGGTTAGGTTCTTATTCAAGAAACAGGGGAACAGCGTCTGCTAGGAGTGGGTATTGTTGGAAAAGATTATGGAAATCACGCCTTGCCGGGATGGTCTAATGGAACCGTGGGATATCACATTGACGATGGAAGAATATTTGACGCAGAAAATCCTACTAGGGGAATAGTGTGTGACGGTGAGAGACTAAATGGTGCTATCTTGTTACATTATTTCTGTTTATGACGATACACCAAGTAAATTAGTAGAAGTTTGCTAGGAGTCATTAATACTATTTCTTTTCAAAACATTTTCTTTTATAGAAAAACGTAGCCTATTAAAATCTTCTATGAACAATGTATCATATAGGTTATATATTTGATATACGTAGACAGGCTTCTTTCCTTTCCTTTTTTTAAAAGTTATGTTCAGTACACAGCGATATAAAAATTATGTTTGCTGTCTACTTTAAAACTCGTGTTAGCCTTCGTGTTAAGATATTTATGCTCATGTACGTATGTATGCATGAATGTATGTATATATGTATTTATGTATGCTTTGAACTCAAACTGCTTCGTTATTATTCCGGCCTCGTCCTGTAACTTGTCTAATTTAGTCCAATTTCCCCGCAGATGAAATCATAAGGACCTTTTCCAGCGTTCAAAAAAAGAAAGAGAAACTCGTCGTTTTGTTTTAACGTCCTCCATATAAAGTGAAAGTAGAACATTTTATTTGCTTATTGAACGTATTGCTTTTTGACTTTGCCTTTGCCGTTGCTGACATTTCTCCATAATATTCCTTATTATCTCGAACTGCAGTGCGCAGGCAACACAATAACTCTCGATATTTTAGGTGTTGAAGAAGAGCTTCTTATTGGCCAGAATCTTAGTAAACCCTACTGAACGTACATATCCACCTGATTCTACAATCAGCTGTCAAAATATATTTTCAGATGCCATGGCCTACAGAGGGGACTTGATTAGCTGCACAGTCAAGTTTGAATTGGCAAGAGATGGGAGAGTTCCAATCGTGTTTTCATTAAACGGAAGGCAGATCACTCATAATGAGATATTAATGGATTACACTCAGAATGGGGAATTTCTGTATCCCTATATTGGCATGGGACACACGGGAATAAGAGTCCTGGCCAAGGTAAGCACACGTTTTGGTATTAAAGAAGTAGCAGTTATGTATTACACAGTTACATCGATTTTTACTATTAATGATAATAATGATAGTAATGACAACTATTCTAAAATTATTGGCCTGTTTTTACTAATATTGATTTAAAATACTCCTCCATTGCTGATTGCCTTTAAGCCAAAGCTAATATTTTATAATCGACTAAACAGTGCTTTTTTATCATTCGCCGGTTGACGTCAATCGTCAAACTTGCTGAATGATTGATGTCAAGTGGCGCTGTGGCTCAGCTGAGTTAACTTTGTAGAAGCGGAAACAATGGCGGACAATTTTGCAGTCCATGTGAACACGAAATCGCCGAATTACTGCCTAAAAAGAATAAGTGTGTGTAATCAAATACTCAGGAAATTATTAGGATTTTCACAAAACGAGTATACAGTGAACTCTCTACAAGACGGACACCTTTGGGACCGGCACTTAGTGTCCGTCTTAGAGAGATGTCTGTCTTATAAAGAGTCAAATAAAGGGAATAAGCAAAGGCAGGGACCAACTCTAGGTGTCCGTTTTACAGAGGTGTCCGTTAAGAGAGAGTCGACTGTACCATTTTATTACCTATTAATATTATGTGTGACAAATTACGGTAGGTCGAAACCCACACACAGCAAACTTTAGAGCTTACAATTTGGCTTATCTTCGTATCTTTCAGAACAGGTTTTTGACAAAATACCTGATAGAATCCTTCTTGATGTGCTCTTCCGTGTGTTTATGTTTTCTAAAGCGTCTTTTAATGCCCTAATATCTTTATTCATAACATTTTTGACGCCATCTTGGCACTGAGATATACGAAACGTTGCCATGACAATTTTGTAATTTCACATGTGAAAATTCGCGACAAAATTCAGGAGCAATTTGTCACCCACGATATTACACAAGAAATAAAACCTTACACTCGAAGAGCTTTTTGTACCTCAGTACAAAAAGAAGCATCCGTTCATAACAGGGGCGGATCCAGGAGTTTTTTTAGGAGGGGGTGCACTCGTCTCTTGCTCTACTTCAACACCAATAAACCACATAGTTTTTTTTGCAGAATACCAGAAATATATATTAGAATATTAGAAAACCGCTGGTCATCTCGGGAGGGGGGGGGGGGTGCGTACCCCTGCACCCTCCCCCTAGATCCGCCCCTGCATAATATCTTGAAACTGTCAAGGGCCTGGCGAAATACTTGAAGGAAATCTTCCTAACAATGTTGGCAATTTTTGAACGAACATCAGAACAGTTATTGGGTTCTCCTTTGGTATATGAAGAGTTATGGGAATCATGGAAGGGTGTTAAAAAGTTAAGACGGAATCCATCACGAAATTGAGTAATTTTAATTTTCACTGGACAAATATCTTGTACCAGAATAACTTTAAGAATATTGCCTTCTTTTTAGCATTTTTCAAGGGCTAAAGATATAATAAACCATCTGCAGTAACGTTAAAGCAAATTTCTCATGAAAGTCCGAGAAAATGAATGTCAAATTTCACAAGAATTGTGATTATACGGGTAAAATTCTAAAACTTTCATGTGTAAGATGTAATTTTGTGAAAATTTGACATTCCTTTTCTCGGGCTCCCATAAGAAATTTTTTTTTGGTTTTACTACAGATGATCTATTACATCTTTGGCCCTTGAAAAATGTAAGAAAAAATGCAATATGCTTTTAATTATTCTGGTACAAGGTTTTGTCCACTGAAAATCAAAATTAGTCAATGTCCTGATGGATTCCGTCTTAATACGCAAATGAGCAGTAGCCAATTATAGGAGTGATCGATGTTTTCAACATAAGAAAAAAATAATTCGTCCGAATCAAGTGTGAGAAGGTATCTCGTCCAATCAAAAGTCACAGCGGTGCTTTTCTTTGGCGCCTTTTTTCCATTGAAAATACGAACAACATGATTTACAGAAGAAAACAGGATGGTTTCCATCAAAAAAAGGTCAATTCCAGTCTTGCTTCCATCTATAATTGAAAAATAGAATATTTTATCAAAAAAAAAATATTAAATAGAATGAGGCGCGGTAAAAGAGGGATGAGTAGAAGACACGAGTGATCATAAGATATGAGGACATTTCGCGGCAACGGTTAACAGCGAAAAATTGCGCTACTGAGTGTAAACACAGGAATATTAACGGACACTAAAATTAATTTGACGGAACAGTCGTTTTTGTCTTGTTTTCTTTTTTCTTTTTTAACCAAACAAACAAATAAACTTTGATTGGCTTATCCACAACCGTATACACGAGGGTAAATATCGATCTCTACATTTTGCCCAGTTAAGACAGATTTCGCTATCACTTCCCCACCTTTACGCATAAATTAGAAAATTAGCCAATGACTATGATATATATTTCGATGTCTTCATGTCAAGATGTAAAAACAGAACCCAAGATCAATGAAATTCGAGATAAAGATCAGATCCAAAAAGAAGAGCTTGATTTGATACTCGAGACTTTAAAAACATAACAGACAAGTTAAATTCGTTCGTTGGGAGAATAAAGAATGCTGTTAGCGAGGTAGATTATAAATTCAGTGGACTCGCGAATAAAATTGTCACCAGCATTCAAAACCTTCAAGATGGAATTATTTATGGAATGAAAAGGAAGAAGGGAAAATGTCCAGCGAAATATCAACGCCCTTGCTTGGAGGAGAGAGTTATGCGTGAGGCTTTATTTGATCTCTACTTGTGCACTGCGGACAAAATAAAGTTAAAAAAAGTTGAAGTAATTAAAGAAATAAGGAAAAAGATAGACGATCTTGATAAAACTATGGACAACAAATTGAAAGAAGTAGTAACTGCACTACAGGAGACTGTTAAAAATTCCCAGCGACATGGTGACAATCAGGATAAGCTAAGGAAAAATGTTCAAAAAAGATTCCATGAGCACGAAGAGTTCATTCGAACCAACCTCCTAGAGTTAATACCGGGACGTTCAATTATGCAAAAAACTGATCAAGGCCATTGTAACCCCAGCTTTACCGAGTTTCAGTTTAGTTGAGTGTGATTAGTAAAAAACAAAACCCTTTTATAGGTGGTTTTCATGCAATCTCGGGAGACACTAATAACAATGGTGAAATGAACAAATGCTGGTGGACAAACAAAGCGAGCTAATGAGCGGTCTTTTGTTGACCGTCCACCAGCATGACGGCGATGACGTAGCGTGAAAACCACCTATTGGGCTGAATTCCAGAAAGGACTTTTTAGTCCGAGGTTGGGTGGAGAGTCGCAAGAAATAGATAAACAAATTTATATGAACCTTACTCTTGGTAAGAACCTCAATTTTATGTTGGAAACCAAAAACGTATGATCCTTATCGTTAATAAGCGGCTTCGATCTCCGCTTATATTCCAGCACGGGAAAGTATGGTGCCCAGATAGCGGCTATAATGGATACGATTCATGTTAATTACTTTTAGATTCTGCAAATAGATCACAAAGGACTATACAGAGCCTTTATCTTGACGCACTTTCACAATTTCAGGTCAGTTGGTATTTTTGCAGTATCTGATCGAAATACCGAAAAGTTTAAAGCTGTCGAAAGACGTATTCTTTGATTGATACTTTAAGTATATAGGTCGTCTTATAGCCTGAGGTACTTGATAAGGCAAACTGTACTTCCTTATGAAATAGGTGGTTACAAAATATGCCGATTTTATTCCCCGAGTCTTTATTTTTTGTTTTTTAAAGCATCCTAATCATATTTAAAAAGACATGTTTACTCTCCGATTTGCTGATTAAACCTTCATGGAAGGTACATCTTGTCCTTTTTCATGCCTCGAACTTCTTTCAATCCTTCAGTTAAAAATCAGAAAAACTTTAGAATAATTCTCTTTGTCAATCTGCAAACCTGGGCCTAATTTCTATATTATTTTAAAAGGATTTTTGGTTTTCAGTCTTGTCATGAAAACAGGGTTTAGACCTAAAAGAGTCACCTAAGCGGGTTACCTCACCTACCTGGAGTTCCCCACGTTCACGTAAACAGGGTAACCCGCCTGTCAATATAATCTCTCATTTTAATAGAGTGAATATTAATATTATAAGAGTTATAAGTTATAAGCAAATCTGTCTATCTTCCTCGGCCGGATATTCTTCCGAAAAGGAACATTAGGGCCATTTATACGAGGAAAAATAAGACGCGTCTTAAATAAGACACGAACTTTCTGTATAAACGGCACATTTCGTCTAAAATAAGACGCGGCTTAGCAAAGACGCGTCTTATTGGATAAGACATGCTCGTATAAATGGTCGTATGTAAGACGCGTCTTATTTTCCCTCGTATAAACGGCCCTATTATTACAAAGCAGAAATGCTGGAAGAATCACAGATCTCTTTTTTTTAACGGTTATAGTGTACTTAAATACTTTCAACTGTGTTAAGAGGTTCGATTCTCGGTATGGTTAACGTATAGCTATTTCAAGCCCAAGAAGAACTTGGTAGTAGAACTTCTAAATTCGAAATTCTGAAAATTAAGGGCTTACGAGGGTTTGACATGCTCTTAACTTACTTTTGGTGCACAGATTTGAAGGTGGAAATACATGCTGACTTGTTCTGGTTTTGTCTTTTAGCTGCACTCAAGGGAAAGGGCATTTTACTCTTTTGATGACCGTCAGGTCTCATGCAAGGAACTCGAAGGATTTCAAATTGGTCTGGAAGCAATTAAGCTGTCTCTGAAAGACTTGGACGAGCTAAAAAGAGCTGTTAATGAAAAACTTTTAACTTTAGATAAGGAGATCCTGGAAATCCATAGAGAGATAGACAAATCAGGTCAGGAATCAAAGAGGCTGAGACGGGACATCAATCGCGAATTTACAATGACAGAAAATTCAATAGCACCGGATTGGCGAATGAGATTTAAGCAACTTCATAGTCCAGTTTTACAGCGCAGAAATTTAGCATACTTGCGTGAACTGGACGAGAAAAGTTTCGAGCAGGAGTGCAACACCATCGATGATGCACTTGATAAATTAAGAGAAACAACAGATCAACTCGGTGTTATTTCAAACGAGGGTTTTGAAGTCGCTTTTAAACGTCTGACAGAAATTAAGGAAGATTCTGCACTACACACTCAGGATCTTAGTGATATTAGAAGCATTGTAGAGAGTCGATTCATAAAGATAAGGGAGTTAATACAAAGCAACCATAAATCTTAGTCTGATAGATAAAATAATAGCATCTAAACAAATGGCATCGACGAAGAGAATTGTTACTGGATAGTGTTCCTTTAACAGGGACCTGTACGCCACAGAATTGATCTTGTTTCAAGACGGTTCCTTCTAATAAAATTTTTGTCTCAACGATTCATTGCTATAATAGAAAAGCATCCGAACAAGGCCGCGCCATTGGAATCCTAAAAGAAAAATGGGTTCGTAACCACGCATAGTTTAGAGTCGATTGAACTTCATTGAAAAAAAAAAGACGCTGACTACGCATTTATAATCAAAAATGAATAAATTTAATGATATTTTCTTAGTCCTTGTTAGGCCTCACAATAATTACAAATTGAAGCATTAAAATAACCAAAAATGGTTAGACAACAATCGTTGTAATTAATAAGTCAAGTGTCGTTGTCAGAAAAAACCGGGCAGGGGCCACGGGTGGAGGTCGGCCTATTCCTTTCAAATTCCTACCTCAGTTTACCTTTCTGTTATGATTAAAAAATTTTCCCTTTCTAATCTGATTGGCTTTTTTCCATGTGACTTTGACCACCCCCTTGTTTTTGGCTAATTTGCATAAGATTACCAAGTCAATTTGGAGTAACTTGTGCAAGTTATTTCTCCTACTTCTTGCCAGTTTTCTGTGCATTTTTGATTTATTCAGATTATTTAAAATTCGATCCAACTGTATTCATGTGATGAATGATTCTGGATTTTTCTTATGTCTTTGGCGAGCATGCAAATTTCCGTCCCGTGTGACTTTGGCAGAATCGCCAATTTTAAGCCATTTTCAAATTACATTTTCTCAAAACTGCGCGGATAAAATTTCAAATCAAATCGGTTTTGGCACAGTCCATTTATAACTGTCTAACGTTCAGTAAGTTTTAGATTGGAACCTCCGAATCCTTTTGCAAGATTGACCACGTAAGTGCGCCCAGATTGTCCAAAATATCATCAAATTTCCCGCCATTTTTTATGTACCAGACAGCCTTGGCGAACACGCTCGTTGGAATATTTGTGTTTCATCCATAAATGTGTTCTCAGTCTGCTGTTTCATTGAGCCTGACAAAGTTTAAAAGTTAGTTTGCGCAAAATTAATATACCCTACAGCTTTTGCACGTGTTTATTTGCAATACTTACCGCGAAATGTAAACATCACTTTTACCTTGATTGAGTTTCACTTGTGATAAATATTGGACATAAAATCTAGTTTTCGTGTGTTTGTGTCTAATTTAAGTCTAAAAATGTCTTGGAAATTCCGTCGATATTGTTTCGGAGAGAGAGAATTAGCTAGACTAAACAAAATTGCAAAAGCACTGATTTCGTATCTGATAACGAACGTAATATAATTTGCGCCGCTACTTTTACATCGAGGACCACGTAATCGGAACATTTGCATTCCCTTTAAAACATGAGTATTCTAGTGAACGTTCTTTTTTAATGGGGATCCAACTGGTGACAAAGTAGGTATAGGAAATCGAAGAAGTCCTCACAATCGCGCTGCACCCGAGCACTTCGATGTTGATCCTTAACAGAAGGCTACGTTCGATGACTGTTGTTTCAACGCATCGAAATTCACTTGGGAAAGATTGGGCTGGCCGTAAAAGTGACAAGTGTAGAGGGTCCACAAATGAAGTTAGCTTATTCACGCCGAGTAACAACTGCTTTTTCCATGGAAACTAATGGAATACACGGAAAAGCAGTTCCCACTGGACTGTTGGATCAGATAAGAAAACGGTTAAGTTCACTGAGAAAGAGGGCTGGATAGTGCGTCTGACAGAAAAGTCGGTTACCAAGATGTTATGATGGAAAATGAATATCCTTGGAACTGGAGTGGACTAGCTGAAGGATCGTAGTCTACGGAACTTACTGAAAGTGGCATTTTATACAGAAACTCCGATCCTCTAACTTCAATTCATTCTTTCATTCCAAATCACAAGCTCTATGCGATCCTTGTTGTGCTGAATTGAGTAATGTTTTTTAGTTCCTACTCTGACAAGACAATTGATTCATCCCGCTAATAAGGTCATGAGACATGCACTCCTAGTAACCATATAAAGGATATGTAAAATAGAGAGAATAGCTTGACAAGGTGCGTCTGTATATATTGAAAAAATCCTATGCTAATTTTTTTTTCTCGAGCGATCTGATAGGAGGGGAAACACAGGAAACCCAGATACAGCAGCGAGTACAATTGTATCTTCCGCAACCCCGCATGTTTTCGGGGTGTCTGCTGTACCGTCACCCATCGAACCGTTCTAACTGAAAAGAATATAAGTTTGGGGAGAGTTAAACCGACATAAAGGTGCGTAAAGCCTACTTACTCACATCAGGTCTTATATCGAAGAAGAGGCTAAGCAAGAAGTGTTCAGTTAACTGAGCAGTGAACCTTGCCTGATAATAATGGATTTGGCGATGACGTTCTTCCATACAGTAGTGCGAGCTAATGACCATGAGTGACTTCTTTGGCAAACGAGGAAGACGTCTGCATGTTAGCACGGTAATCACCAGTCAAGGGAGCCTACAAACTGAGTTTACCATTTATATTAACAAGTTTCAAGAGGATAACTTTGTTCTTCTTTTTAACAGTTGCACACAGAATAGTTTCGCAGTTAATTATGTCTATTAATTCGAGCATTTGCTACATACTATCATGCTAGCAGAACCCTTCATTCTGATAACGCTGGCTGTTACCATAATGGGCCACTCCTTGTCAGCTTACCACAACTTGGAGCGAGAAATGGTGTCTGATTAATTTGTCATGACTTTTCCGATCCAAAAGCTAGCTGTAAAGGACATAGCAATATCGTAAAACTGCTCCTATGAAGGTTCCTATTAGATGACCGCGTCAACGAGAAACATATAACTTTACTACTACCCAGAAAATGAAAGAGGCATTAGAGTGATATGTTGGGCTAAGGGGCTATAGTGCAGTTTTGGTAGAGATTGTCACTTAAAGGAAGTAAACAAGGACGACAAGAGTGCAGAGATCAGTATTCTAAGAGCGCTTTCCATTCAGCCCAAAATTTGGGGAAACTTCAGTTGGAAGTCAAATGGAATGGACCATTTCGGTTAAGTTCGACTAGAACTGTTTTGGGGCCACCTTTGAAGGTGGCCCATTTTGACCGGTCCGCTCATTTCGGTTGGTCAGACCGAAATGCTCCCATCCATTTGACAAAATTGTTGTCCCCAGTACGGCTCTTTGGCTTCCTGCTAGCAAGAACAATATCTAAATGTGCGGTGGCTTGGGTTGGGTCTGTGCAGCCGGAATGTACCTTTCCATCGGGGGCGTCAAATTGCCAAAATTTTAACGGCCGGATTTAATTTTTTGATGAATAGAAAGTGTCCCAAATAACGTTCAGTTCGAGAATAGGGACCGGATTCTCTAAAGTCCCCGGGCCGGTAACTTTTCAAGTTCCATGGTTCTCCAAAAAAAAAAAAATCCTGCGCGCCCATTGAAATGTTTGCAAAATAGTGCTTGTCTGACAAAAAGACCTTTTTTCTTTAGAGAAAAAAAAATTAAAATGCAAGTTAAAATCGTTTCTATGGGGCAAATGAAGCAATGTATGTTTAGACATCACACTACTAGTTCAGGAACCATTCACAATCACAACAAAATACAGTTAACGGTTTGAACCCATAACCAAGGATTCATGTCATAAATTAGTGGAATACAATCGTCCGGGTAGGTGTAGCCCTGAATAGGACTGTTGTCGACTACCTGTCAACCACAGTCATATTCAGGACTTCGCAGATCTACACTCACCTGAAGGATCATATTCTATAAACTTATGACAAATAAAAACATATAATTTTGGATAATGAATGCAAACAGTTGAAAGAAATCACTTCGCATGTTCGTTGCTTTAAAAAACGGCAGGAAATCTTGTTCTGATTTTGCCGATTCTAGCTGACTAACATGCTCACTCTTCCAAAAGGGTTCCTAGGTCCCAATCTAAATCTTACTTAATATATATTTAATAAACACATGTAAAATTGGTGAATCCCCTAAATTAACATGAGTCGAAAATTTTTACGTACTCTTCGATGTAAAATTAGTGGCTTAGCAGTGACGACGAGCACGTGAACGTCAACTACCGGAAGCTGGAAAACGAACCATGATACTGCCACGCAAGCCCTAACGAGCACGAGCTCGTTCCTCGTTGAGGAAGCCATTTGCCGTCCTGTGGTGAACGTGAGTATCGCTTGACTTATTTTCTTATATTTTCTGACTTAATTTTGCAATTTCTTGAATCCCAAGGTTTTTCTTGGTAGATAAGACAGAAGCCGTAAGTTATTCCTGTTGCTGTGAAGTAAAAAACCCTGATTTGTTCGATGTTGCAGGAAAAATTTGACAGTCTTAGTATAACTGCACTCGGTCAAAGAAGTGATGGATACAGCAGGAACATCAGCGTAAGTTTCAAGCCTTTTTATAAATGTAAGTTGTATTATTTAAACCGCATTTGATAACAGTTTTGTAATCAATCCTGTCAGGATTTTTATGAAGTTTTGTTCGTCTTTGAAAGTCTAAACTGTTCGTGTAAATACATTTGAGTAAGAATCCACCTTAGCTAAACTCTGAATAAACGTACCTCACTTTTTTGCTGATATAAAAGCCCTCTCAAAGCCAAGTTGTTGTAGTCGTTAATTTTTGCACATGAAGATTTTT